CAATATGACAAGAAGAAGAAATAAAAGGCATAATGGCTGAGTGCAGTGGCTCATGCCCATGATCGTAGTAACTTGGGAGGCCAAAGAGGGAGGATTGCTTGAGGCCAGGAGCTCAAGACCAGCCTGGGCAATACATCAAAACATCATATCCACAAAATAAAAAATAAAACAAATTTTCTGGACATGGTGGCATGCACCTGTAATCTCAACTACTCAGGAGGCTGAAGTGGGAGGACTGCTTGAGCCCAAAAGTTCAAGGTTACAGTGAGCTATGATCACACCACTGCACTCCAGCCTGGGCAACAGAGTTAAGACTCAGCCTCTAAAATAAAAAGAAGGAAAAGATGAAAGAAAAGCATTAAAAGGAAAAAATAAAATTTTCCCTATTCATTGATGACATGATCGCCCACTCAGAAAATCCCTAGGAATTTTGTGTAAGTCCTATACAAAAACTCCTAAAACAAGTAAGTTTAATAAGATCTTAGGCTACAAGGTTGGTATATAAAAATTAATATCTCTCTAGCAACTTATGATTGGAAACTTCAACAAAATATTTCATTAGGTATAAATATAACACACCATGTTTAAAAAACATCAAAGAAGATCTTAAAAATGGAGACACATCTTATATTTACTGGTTGAAAGACTCAACACTAAAAATGTCAATTCTCCCCAAATTTATATGTAGATTTAACACAGTTTTAATACAAATCACAAGAGGATTTTTTTTTTTTATATCTAGTCAAGCTGATTTTAAAACTTCTATGTAAAGGAAAGAGAAAGGAAATAGAATAGCTAAAACAATTATGAAAGCACAGTTTCAGGAATCAGATTACCTAATTTTAATAATACCAATTTTAAAAACTGCTGTAAGGCTACAGTAATTACGATAGTGTGGTGTTGGTAAAAGGACAGACATACAGATTAACTAGAACAGAACAAAGGGTCCAGAAATAGACTCACACATATTTAGACAATTGATTTTTGACATAGATACAAAAGCTACTCGATGAAGAAAAGATTGTCTTTTCAACAAGTTGTCATATAATAATTGAATATCCATATGCAAAAAAAAAGAACCTCGGCTCGGCACCTATGGCTCAACCGGCTAGGGCGCCAGCCACGTACACCTA